CTCCATAAATTGTGTTCATTCAATTGGTTTATGCCATAACTTATATTTGTATTTTTATTTTGTTCAGGAGGCTCAAAATGCAATTAATGACTTAAATGGTATGTGTTTCTTTGTCATGATACAGTTCCTTTATATTTGTGCTCTTAATCAGTTTGTATTTTGTTGAGATATATTAGCCCTACATTGCTAGATTAAAGAGTTTTGTGTGCCATTTCTTGGCTGTTTTGTAAACTATAATTAGCAGAATTACTCTATCTCTACTTGCGCATGCATTGGCGTATCTGTTATTGAGCACCTGGTTTGTCTACTCTACTGTCATGAATTACTTTTGAAAATTGGAAAGTTAAGTACTCCTTAGATGTAGAAAATCATTGTTTGCGTGTCAAAGTTTTCCTGTTGGATTCATTTCACTACTATGGAGTTGTATAATGATGTTCTGACTTGATGCTGTTGCAGGAAAGTGGCTTGGGAGCAGACAAATTCGGTGTAATTGGGCCACCAAAGGTGCCAATACTAATGACGACAAGCCAAATACTGATGCCAAAAGTATAGATCTAACAAATGGAACATCAGGTGAGCTATTCTATGAATATTGAATTGAACCTGTGGTTGAATATCAACTTGTAAATTTACTGTCGTGAAGTTCCTCTCAACTTCATTGTTTATATAATTATTTTTTGAAAGCCAAAATTTTAAGCAATTGGCATTTAGCTGAATTGTCTTTTTATTTTTCGGGCCAGATGATTTGTCTGTTTTTGCTAAAGGATTGCTAATTTGGTCTTCAACTTCTCTTCACAATGATTTCCAGTGAAAAAAAGAAAAAAATGGTTTTGTGTGTGGGGTGTACAGAATCTATTGTCTTGTATACATGTTAGATGAATGATTCAGATGCATATCAGTATCCAAACCTGCTATAGAATTCTTTCTTTAGGTTCAGTTTATATGTTAATGTTCTTGCTGGAGGTGTTGTATCATACAAGCTTGAAATGCTGAAGTTACATATGCATCTTCTTACCATGTTATAGCTTAAATGGTTATTTTCTTCTATGTAGAAGATGGTCAGGAAAGGAACAACGATGATGCTCCAGAGAACAACCCTCAGTATACCACAGTTTATGTTGGCAATCTTGCTCCTGAGGCAAGAACTTACCTGTGATTTAATTATTATCCTATTTGATCTTTATGTCGTTGGTATGATGCACTTTTACTATGGATTATCCTTGCTGTCTTTTGAAAAAAGAAGGTTAAATTGTAGGGCGCACACCCTTGCTTGTTTATCAGATTATGATTATATTTCCTATGCTATGTCACATTGCATACCCTTGCTGGGTTTACCATATTATTATTAAACACTGTTATGATACTCACCAACTTGTGAGTTAATTAAAACCTTTTACATGGGATCTTCATTTTTGTTATCATATAAGAGATTCGGATTTGCTTGGATCAATAGATAGTTAATGCAATGAGATGGAGTTGTGTAAGTCTGGTCGAGATCTTATTGTTCCATTTGTGTTTCTATACATGATGTTCCTCCGGACAGAATTTGATCAAAATGCTCTAGGACTGCCTCCTCTGATTGGTGTCTAACAAATGACTTGCAGGTTACTTCTGTTGATCTACATCGGCATTTCCATATGCTTGGTGCTGGAACTATTGAAGATGTGCGGGTGCAACGTGACAAAGGTTTTGGGTTTGTGAGATACAGCACTCATGCTGAAGCGGCTCTGGCTATTCAGATGGGAAATGCTCGAATTATGTATGGAAAACCAATTAAGGTATATTCATATGATGGCTTTTTTTATTGATGTGGGATCTTGTTTTCCCTTTTTGTATGTTTGAGATCTTTTTTGATTAATTAGGTTCTGAATAAGTAGTTTTGATTACTACAGAATGCCAATGCTTGTTTTCCGTTACCTGTATAGCAAGGCATTTTGCTGTCCTTTTTCTTTATTGAACTTCTCTCAGGAAAGAAATTTCATATGTATCCAAAAGTGGCATGCTTAACGCTGTGTTAGTAGCAGTTACGCAGACTTGTTATGCAAATGTTTTGAGCTTGATGTCAAAATGGTTTTTAATCGCATGATATCTTGATGTTGCAGTGTTCATGGGGTAGCAAGCCCACTCTACCCGGGACAAGCTCTACTCCTCTTCCCCCGCCAGCTGCTGGACATATGCCAAGCCTTTCAGCTGCTGAACTTGCAGTTGCAGCCTACGAACAGCAGATGGCATTGAGCAAATACGGTGCACCGGCCCTTATGCATCCACAGGGTCATCATGCCCATAAGCAGGCAGTCATGGGAATGGGTACTGTTGGAAGTAGCCAGGCAATTTATGATGGTGGGTTCCAGAATGCTGCAACAACACAGCAGCTAATGTACTACCACTAATGTTGTATGGAAACTCCCTTATAGCTTGGCAGGGAGAAACAAGTGGTTGAAAAACTTAGAATTGAGTTGCTTAAGATATTTTACTACTACTCTGGAATGTTGCTGTATCATGTTAAATATTTGGCATTGTGGTGAGAACCCTGTTTCAACATTTGATTATTTTTTTTTTTTTGGGTTTTAAATTAATTTTTAAATATATTTAGATTTTTTTTGATGTGTTGGTATTAAAAATTAATTTTAAAAAATAAAAAATATATTATTTTAATGTATTTTTAAATAAAAAATATTTTAAAAAATAATTGATATATAAACAACTTCTATATTGAAAGATAGATAGTAATTTAATTCATTTCAATTTTAATCAATTCAGTACAAATAGAGTGGCCTTTAGCATGGTATAGAAATCTACTGGGCATATAATTGATTTTCACAATGGATATGGACTCTCATGGTAAAATTATTATTTTACTTTTGTTTGGCAAGCTCAAAGCCTGAGTTTAGGGGAGGAAAATTCTTTTCGTAGTAATCATTACTTGTTGTAGAAAAGGAGTGGGATATTGGGTATTTTTACGTGTTTTTTTTATTTATAGTGTGATTCCTCAATCATCTATATATATATAAAAAAAAAAGAAGTGATCCTCAAGTTGGGAGGCTTTTTGGGCCCGTCATGTCAAGTGAAATTGATGCCTCTAAAATATTAATCTTTTTTACCCATATATATATATATATATATATATATTTGTTATTCTTATATAGGGTCAGGGATAATTAAGTTTTTTAAAATGTATAAAATAATATTTAAATTTAAAAATATACTGCTAATAAGTGAGTGTTGCTAGCTATATAGGTTATCTGAGTTGTTTTATTTTTCAAATTAATTAAATTATATTAAGATAATTTTTATATGATTTAGTTTTAAATTTAAATTAAATAAATATTCAAAGTTTTTAAAATTAACTTATAAAATTATATTTAATAAAAATAATATATAATTATTTATAATCTAATATTTTATATTAAAAAAACTATAATTCGAGTTATGACTATAAAACTAGTATATTTTTTATGGATTCACGTGACAACACCTATTTCTTTTGCTTTTGTTTTCTTATATCAAGACTCATTATTTTTGTATTTTAAAAATATATTAAAAAAATTTGATTTTTTTTATTTTTTTCCTCTAAATTAATTTTTTTAATGTTTTAAAATTATTTTAATATATTAATATCAAAAATGATTTTTAAAAAATAAAAAATATTATTTTAATATATTTATAAATAATTTTTTTTTAAATAACAACCCCATCCACACTATAGTTCTATTTTGCTGTAGGCAAGCATTGAGCTGTTTAACTTGGTAATATCTGTTTCCAAAGTCTCGAATCATTGCAGGGGTGCTGAGCTTGCCACATCACTCTTGGAACCTGTCATCAATCAGTGATCAGTCTTGATATAGTGGACACGGAGTGTTACTGCCTTCTTTTGGTTTCTTATTTGGCCTCCTTCAAGTTCTAAAATGGATCGTCCTTTCAGTAATGGTGAGATTCATCAAAATTTTAAAAATAACCATGCATAAAACCTAGTAAAAGAACCGTAACACAATACCAAGCTGTCTGTTGTTATGTTAAAAATCTGCATTCTCGCCCCCAATAAAACTGTTACTCTATCCTATGGGTACAGCCTGCAATGGAGACTTGGGATTTCGACTGCATATTATGTTTAAACCCTGGAAAGGATTTGCGATTTCTACTTTAAGTTTAAACCCAGAAAAAAGATGGGATGAAATTTGTTTGGGGGGGGTGGCGCGGCGCGGCGCTACCTTTCAAGAACTCAAAAGTTTTCGTTGACCTAAATAAGGGATAAAAGTAAAATTGTTGCCTGAACATGGCTTGATAATTATTATAATCATTTTGTGATGCAAAATTCGCTTTCTAAAAAATTCTCAATACAACAAAAACTGCATAGCCTATATCCCACAATTTTCTTTCGCTATGCTTGCTCTATATTATATTCAATATCGAGCTGATAAGATTGTCATATGTATAGCGTATTGCCGTGTAAAATTGGAAGTCCAGGACTGAGATGTTTATCCTAAATTGCAAGAATCCCAGTTGAGAAGATGGGGGTTGTTTTGAAAGGCGAGCTTGAAACATCTGCAGATCTCGCAACTTCTGATCTGCACTGTTCTTTGCGCTCGTCTATCATTATTTGACTCGATCGACACTCCACGCTGCAGAATGCTTTCTCTCCTCTGTAAACAGGTAAGAACACAAATGTTTAATTTCATGCTTTAATTCCAGTCTTGAAACCCATGTAAAGAATACACCTGCAAATAACTCCTAAAGAAAACTTCAAGGAGCCGGAAGAAAAATAGCTGTACCTGTAGATGTAGATGTCTCTGCCATTGAGTTTTTTCCTGCACAAGTGGCATGCACTCAGAAAATCTGAAGTGGGATACACGGAAACATCATTGACAACTCTGGCACGAAATCCCTCAGGAACAGAAGTAAATCCCATGTTTTCACATCTTCTATCATGCCCTCGTTTTCCATGTTCACCTCCATCATAGTAAACCTTCTTGAAGGATTGATTAGGAGCATGGATTGTGACAGAGGTATAGTCTTCCAAGCTCTTCATATCCATTTCCCCAAAACCACAGTTAAATATCTCACAATCTTTACCTGAATTAACTGGAATTGGATTTGATCTATTCAAATTTGACCTGCAAACGGCATACTTAGCCAAAACTTCATGCCCCACATCAGTCTTAGAAGGCTTGTCAAGGGCTGCAACAATACCCAATCCAACCCCACCGAGATCATGGTAATTCTTTAGACCTTTTGGTGAGTGGTTTTTGAAGTCCAGTGGACTTCTAGGACTGGTGTTAGCATCCATGAATTTGGCACGGGTGCCTGCGACCAATAATTCCGACAATCTTCCGATCATAGGATTTGTTCTCTTGCCTAACATCGTTAAGATTTATGTAAATGATTGCCTAACATCGTTAAGATTTATGTAAATCTTTATGAAAAAAGATTAGATGTTGGGGTGGTTTATGTAGGAAAAAGATAATCACCGCAAATGAGTTGATTTGATATCTTAGGCAAGTAGGCCTAGCTCTTTCCAATTTATTTTATTATTATGGAGTAGGTGGACCTGGGGCCATGCTTTTTTGGAATTATATAATAATGACGATTCAATTTTGATTGTTTGCCAGGAAAGCTCGACCCACCCAGCGAATTATTTCCCACTTTTATTCTCATTTTCCAGTTAAATAATATAGATATTTTAAAATTATTTTATATTCAACAATATATCTCTCATATAAAAGGTTTAAATTTTAAGAAACAAGTTAATGAGCGAGTTTTTCTTAAGCATTGCTTAGATAGCCATAATTATTTAATGGATTCCCCTAAAAGAAATATATAACTAACTAGTCTTCTTTTAATTATTAAAAGCTGTATAATGTATAATAATTGTTTTGTATTTTTAAATCATTTTAATATAATAATATAAAAAATAATTTTTTAAAAATAAAAAAATCATTTAAAAAACCACTACGGGACCCACAAATGCACTTGTCAGGTGGGACCCATCACAAAGCATCGACTAATCTAATGATTGAGACTTCGTCTTGGGATCTAGCCCTCCAAAAAAAGATTCCGAGAAAAGTGAATTCATCACATCACTGTCTAGGTCTAGGGTACGTGTCGAAATCCTAAGGAAGAAGAGGGACGAGCAATTATTGCCAACACCACCAACGGGCCCCCTGATTGGAGGCCAGCGTTTTTGGCATCACGGAGGTGGTTTTCCTTTCCGTCCTATCTTCTCCGCTTGGAATTTACCCTCGCCCGCGTTCTCCTCTATTATTGAAAATTCTGATATTTTTTTTTCACTATTTTAAGTTATTAATTAAAATTGAAAGAATATATTTAAATTTATCTGCTGGTTATTTTGTTGAATTCTTAGAGGGATGGATTTCGCCAAAACCATGTGCTTGGATATACCTAGTGTAGTGGTGGCATATTCCAATAGAAAAGGAATAGAAAGGAGCAATCAAGATCACAAATTTTTTGTTCACTAGAGAATAAAGATCTCACACCTTTTTAGTCCACTAATGCGAGAGAAAAAAGCATAATCTTCTGTAGATATTAAAGTATCAATTTGTTTTAATTATATATAAAAATTGTACCAATTTGTTTTCTTGAGAAAGTTATTTTAACTTTAACTTGGACATATCACAAATTTTTTATTGATAAACATCTTATTATTTTTAAAATCTATTTGGAAATGTAATTACATTTATTTTTTAAAATATTTTTTATTTAAAAATATATTAAGATTATATTTTTTATTTAAAAAAATTATTTTTAATATTAGTGCATCAAAATAATTTAAAAATACTAAAAATATATTAATTTAAAGTGATTAAAAAATAAAAAAATTAATTTTTTGAAAGTAATTTTAAAACGTAAAAATAAATAAGTTAAAAAATAAAAAAAATTAAATTTTTTTTAAAAATTTTAAAATCCAAAAATAAACAGGATTATAGTACACTAATTAAAAAAAAAAAAGAGAGAGCATAATCTCCTGTACATAGTAAGGTACCCATTTGTTTTAATTATGTATAAAAAGTGTACCAATGTTTTCTCGAGAAAGTTATTTTAACTTTAACTTCGACATTTAACGTAGTTTTCAAAGACACGGAGATTGAACGAAATCTCATTTATTCCCTTAAGACAAGAGGACGCAGGAAATTGAGGAAGATAGAAGAGCTCCGTCCGTTAGATAATATTCGTTTGTAGATCAACCACGAAATTTCAAGTGCAAGGGAATAACTAGAAGGTTTAATTTTACTCGACATATTAAATTAATTAAAGTTATAAATTAGTTAGGATTTATATGATTATCAATAATAAAAAAATTTAAATTGTATTATAATTCAATGTGTAAGCTTCTTATCCAATATGAATATTAAAATTAGATATTTAGATAAAACTTATATATTATACTATATAAGTATCATATGGCCACCACTGAAAATATAATTTTTTTTATGCAATTTATTCAAATTAAATTGTATTATAATTCAATGTGTAAGCTTCTTATCCAATATGAATATTAAAATTAGATATTTAGATAAAACTTATATATTATACTATATAAGTATCATATGGCCACCACTGAAAATATAATTTTTTTTTAAATGTAATTTACTTTATGCAATTTATTCAATTTTTTTTTTAATTTTGCTTTTATTTCCTATCTTTTACAAGGATTGATTCACCCTCTCTGTTTTATTTGTTTTCTTATCCATTTTCACCTATACTCATTTTTTTTATTGGCTTTAACTGCAACAGATTCTCTATTTTTAATATAATTATCAAACCTGGTTTGAAGTTAACTCGATCAAGAGGTCAGGTCTCGAGTTACACGGGTTGACTAAAAAAAAATTTAAAAAATATTTGAAGTTTTAATATTTCATATGAAAAAATTAAGAAACAATTTATTTGAATATATGCTATGCATGTTATAAATAATGAAGTTCAAATTATTAATTTAAAAGGTTTTTTATTTCACATTCAAAATAATTTATGTTATCCTTTTAAGTTGAAATATTTAAACCAATTTTTTTTTTAATTCCATATTGAAAACACATGACTTTTTTCTTATGAATATAAAGTATATATACTAAAGAGCTTCAAATCCCAGAATATATTTACTAAACGGTTTCAACTATATATACTAAAGAGCTTCAAATCCCAGAGTATATTTATTAAACGGTTTCAACTCTCACATTGAAAAAATAAAATATTCTTCTAATATTTATATAGTGAACTTTGAAAATAGTTAATAATCAACTTAAAAATATGAAAAAAGAGGGGTTTTTGGCTAGGAAAAAGTTTTTTGAAAAAAAAAGATCTCCACCAAGTTTTGCCAGGTCATCTAGGTCATGGGTCGAGTCGGCGGGTTGATCAGATTTGATTATTTTTTTGCTCTTGCCGGTCTTTCACATTACCCGAATCGATCTAGTCATCGAGTCAACCCACTAGGCCAGTTTGAGTTTAATAACTATGGTTTTTAAGATTTAAAATCTTGAGACACCTATACTCTGTTTGATTTTACAAGACTACTATATATCTCCACCAAGGATTAAGTTCCTAACTATAGATACTCCTTAGTTGGAAGGAAGAAACGAATGATAAATAACATATTGGTAAGGGAATAAATGATTAGATAATCAACTTGTTAAGAATCAATTACACAATTATATATTAGATGAACAGATTGACACATTTGATGGGATAAGATTTAATGTTTGTATAATTAATCAACAATCATTCCACCAAAAAAGAATATAGTTAAAATCATTTTCATAACATTTGATGACCAATTAGTTCAAGAAATGAATAAAGACCATGTGTTTGCCTATAATGAAACTAATAATCCTTCATCACCATACCTTATTGCAAAATGACCTATCTTAGATAAGCTATAAGATGACATTGATGACCAATTCGTTCAAGAAATGAATAAAGACTGTGTGTTTGGCTATGATGAAACTAATAATCCTTCATCACCACACGTTATTGCAAAATGACCTATCTTAGATGAGCTATAAGATGACACTTCATCTCTGATTCTTTTTAACAACTTAAAACTATACTTAAGCAAAACTTCAATGTATTTTTGTAGCCTTTCATGTTCTTACCTCTCTCAACATCCTTACCAATACAAGTGTTTTATGTAAGAATGGCTATACCTCCATCACAACCCTATGCCTACCCTTTTTATATGTTAGAAGGGATGGTGAGGTAAACACAACCATATGTACAACTAGTAGTGTTTTTTTTAGAGAGATTTCGTTTATTAGACTTTAAACCTGTCTATTCTTGATATGAGAGCTACCTACACAGAGATGGAAAACACAAAAAACTTGACTTACCTATAACAATATTGCAATAAAAATATAGACTTGCTAATTTTTTCCTAACAGTGGCCTTCATCTTTCAATGTTATACTATTTAATTCTCGATAATAAATTAATTTGAGTACTAAAGAAAGAATAATATTTCTTGTTGTGCTTTGTTAATAAGTGAGTGATGAACCTTTTCTTTTCTATTTAGTTATCTTTTGCTTAGTCTCGGTATTTAATATTAGGCCTAATTCTAATTCTAGTTCATTTGTTTCAAAGTAAAGATACCCATGAGGCATGACGCTACACTTTTTTTTTTCTTATTAGGAAAAAATTATGATAAAATATATTTTTTGAACTTGATGAAATGGGCAGAATGGCTACCCTGCCAAATATATGTTTTACATATTCTATACAAAAATATTTGGTTCTTATAAGGTCTTATTGATTGTTGCTAAGATGGACCTAAGGAATTGCTTAATAAGGGTGATAATCCTTTTTCATAACCTAAAAGTAAGAACAGATCTGTGAACCTAGAGTTAACTAGTTTTCCCTGAAATGCATTGAGGCACAACAACTAACTAGATATTTAGGGGTAAAGTACTATTTCAATACGAGTCATGAGAGTGGTATAAAATCAAGGCAAACTTTGAAACCATGCATGTCATTGTCGATCAACTCAATCAAATTTAGAATGAAATAAGAAATAATCGACCTTCCACATATACACTTAAGGGAGAAAATACTAGGGTACATTCCCATGATTTACACTCCAATAGTGATGTATTATATATGTGAGTGTGTGACACGATCAAAAGATTGATGTCTTATCCCAAGTGCAATAGTTTCGAAATAATAAATAACCTAGCAAGATTAGAGTCAAACCATAGGAAGGTGAACTATATAAAATTATAAACAACAAATAAAAAGGAGTTGAAAAGAAATTTTGAGATATGATATTGATATGAGTATTAACCAAAGATAAAACAATTGTCAAGGTTAGAGGATCCACTAATAGTATTAGAAATAAGAATAGTATAAACTCTTTTTATCAATCAACTTAAAACCACATATAAAGGAGATTCCAATCGGATGATTTATCCTTAATATTCCATTATAAAATTTTAATATGATCATATTAATTATCTTATTTTAGTAACACTATACTTT